AAAAATCACGCAGGAATCTCAGCGGGACAAGGCAGTGAAGTGGACGAACCGGGATAGGAGACGAACCGGGGATGCAAAACCGACTCGGAACAGGAGGGGCTGCAAACACAAGAAGCGCCCCAACAAGTCTCCGGACGCAACTCCGCACCCCGGGCAAATCTTGGCACCCGGATCGCCCAAGCTATTTAAAAAGGGAGGGGGGAGGGGAAGGATGGCGCGCGCTCTGCTTCTACTGAGCCTAAAACACACTTTCCCCCCCCCCCCGCTCCCCGCAAGCGGATCGCCCCCCGACCGCCCCCCCCCCGCCCCCCCTGCCCCCGGGCTCCCAGCCCCACACCTCGCGGGGATGCCTCCATGGTGCAGGTCCGCAACTCCGCCGCTCAGAACACAGTTCCAGCCGGATCAGTCCCGCGGCTTCTCGACAAGTTTGAAGAGGCTCCTCCCCTCGTCCGCCCGGGACTCCTAGTGCCTGGATTTCCCCTCCCCTGCGCTGGTCCGGCCTAGCTTTCCTTCGCCTCCTCTTCCTCTTCCCCCCACACCCCACCCCCGCCTTTCCCCCCCACAAGCAGGCGTCCAAATCTTACGGCGCAGCAACCCGAGCGCAATGTCGGGCGCCATTCGTGGGCTGCCTTTGCACGCGCCTTCTTTGTATCCAGACCTCATGAACGGAAAATGTACTATCTTGGGAGTTTTCCTTGAGACTTAATAATATCCAGCATCCCGGCCGATAATATATATAGGCCCTGCACCGAAGTCCTCCATCACTGTTCGCTCTCATTTCACCCGCTCTTGCTTTGATACCGATTATCTGATCAAGTCCTACAGGTTCCTGGTGTCATGCTAAGATCCACCACAGCTACATATCTTTGTCACTATTTTTTAATATTTCTGTCTGGCGAGAATATCCATGCTCAAGTCAGAATACACCTTCAGAAAGCCTTGGCATAGGCAGCTTCAAGTTTGTGTTCAGAGATATATGCATGGACATCCTCTTTTCTGTGCAATTACTAATCAATTTAATTATCATCATCATCACCGCCACTACCATAGCAACAAGTTAGAGTTACAATAGACCCAGATAGAAAAGTTGGGCATAGTTCTGAAAGTATTGAAATATTTTTAATTATAGAATCTCTTAAATTCTCCCTCACAGTCTCTACTATTCCCTGACTAACATTAAGGAATAATTCTGATGCTTTGGGGACCTGTTAGATGGGGATGACCGAAGGCTATTCTCTGTATTTTGCTGAGGAAGAACTTGATAAAAGATATAAATGAGTGTTATATTCTGGTTTATTTCATGGATTACAGCCCCCACTCATCCTATTGTACAACACAAACAAAGATTTGGGCTGATAATGCCACACAAAAGAATCACAACTTTATTCGGTCTGCCTTTTCTCGGGAAAGAAGGATAAGCACCACTCTCAAATATTACTTTGCTAATTAGGGTCCCTTGCATAAAATTTATTCTTGAACTTAGTCAAGATCTATTGTTCTTTATTACCGGTAGATGTATCAGCCTTATAACCAACTGGAACTTTATCTGCCTTCCCACATTAAACCAATTTTAAAAAGTTTAATTGATACTCAATAAAACAAAGTAAAAAAATATTATATTTTCCTTGATCTTTTTATGGCTTAATTTCAGAACACAGACCTGATCACGATGCTGAAGTGTACATCTAGCAAGAGTTAATTTTATGAATCAAAATCCTCCACATCATAATTATATTAGGTCTGCTTCTCTTGTCAGTAAAAAGCAGTTAGAAATCAACACCTTTATATTACATCTATTTCACACTGTATACTATCTTTTCCAAATCATTTGCACTAATTTAAAATCAAGTAATTAGTTATGACTTTTAATTTTTTCATTAAATATGTTTATTCTTTTTTATTGTTGCTGTTTTTGTTCCTTCAAGTCAGAGTTGATTTCTGACAAGTGCCTGGACTAGTCCCTGCAATTTTCTCGGGAAGATGTTTTGAAGTGGTTTGCCATTGCCGTCTTCTTTCTAGGGCTGAGAGACAGTGACTGGCCCAAAGTCATCTAACTGGCTTTGTGCCTTAGATGTGACTAGAACTCATTATGTTTGCAAGTTGGTGTCTTAATCATAACACCCAACTGACTTTCTTATTCTGCCTTTCAGTCCAATGAAGGTTCTTACAAAATGATTTACAGGAAGAAAATACATATAATATTAACATAATACATAAAGACTGATACAATGCAATGAATAAGTGACATTGAAAAAATCCAAGAGGGTATTAATTTACTCTGACTCCAGAGTTCTAGGAAAATCAGAACATTTTAAACCAGGAAAAATCATTCCATGTTGTTAAACACAAAGGAAATGCACAACCCCCAGGGGAAAAAAATTTCTCATGCATGCTGAAAAATACTTTCTAGAGTAAAATTTCATCTGATTATTTTTATATATATAAAAATAATGGACAACCTTTTGTAGCAGGAAATTGAATTATTTTTGAAAAATTAAAATAATTTTTCAACAGCTAAGTGCTGCTGTGAGCACTACAATGAAGAAACTGGAAGGGATTATGCTATTCCCCCCCCTCTCCCATTGCGGTGTGTGTGTGTTTAAAAAGTAAATAAGTACATTTAACCTATTGAAAACTTGGAGCACCTATTTTACTGTTTTGATCAAAAATACAGGAAATTGTCTCACTTTTATTCAGCAGTTTTCTGCTGAATTTTAAGCTACAAATAATGAGTTACAGTAACAGTCAGTAAAAAACTTGCAATAAAATATATTGTAAAATGCCAGCTGTCTACTGTAGAGTCTGCAAAAAAACTAAATTTTGTCACAATCTTTAGTCTAACGTGAGAAAGCATCTGTTTATAGCTTCCCTCCAGTTTAATGATGTGTAAAGGAAAGCTCCAATATATTTGTGGAACATTCCCCAGGAACAACATCCTACTAATTTCAATTATGTGAGGCAGTTTGTGTTTATAGACATTTACAAAGCATATATTAACATCCTCCATGGGACTACTAAGCATGCACATTAAACATGCACAGAACACGAGACATAAGCGGAAACTTGGTTCAATCAACATACAGCTTGCTATCTCTCTCACAGTCTCATTTCTCCATAAAAAAATGGAAGTGGCAGCATCCGACTTCACTAAACTTTTATAGGAATGAATGAGTTCTAAGATCCCAAATGGTAAAAATATTTTTTAAAGCTTCCTATGTGCGTGTCTTATTTTGGTTCGATAAATGTTTAAAAAGCTCACTGATTTTAAGAAGACCCCAAATTCTCTCCTCTTGTTTCAGTGTTAGAAGAAAATCACTCATGGTATGCATAGTTTATCCTTGAAAATTAAAAATATGGTTTTGTGGGGGGAGAAGGAAGAAGAAAGCAGGAGGAGGAAGTTTTCAATATTTTTTGTTATCACAAGAAACTCAGAAGAACCTGGTGTTAAAAGACAACATCTCCAGCTCACTCAGTTCAGGCCGCCATCTTATACCTGATCATTCCATTTCATTCTGTCTAAGTCATTGCCATGTCCTGTCCTAGCCAGCCAGAAGCTCTACCCAGCTTTTATACCTTTCTCTACCACAGGCAGTTTGTTCCAGTTGTGCCAGGCTTTTAGCAGGCAGGTTAGGATAACTGCTCATTGCTGCCTGATCTCATTTACAGCAGCACTGTAATGCTGCATTACAATGGCAGCACTGGTTGTCGCAGAACAGAAACCCATATGCAAGAAGCTACCTGCTCTTGTACTGATATTTGCAGGCTATCCTCTCTGCAGATGGTGAATGTCCTATTCCTCAAGTTTTGCTGAATCCTTCTGTATACTGTTCAGATCTTCTCCCATTACTTTCACTCCAAAGGATCTGCTTTTAAAATTCCCTGACAGCTTTTCTTTTAACCACAAGAGGGCAGCATTAAATTGCGTATTTTCCTAGGTATGTGTATTTGATTTTATACACACTGCCTACTCAGTGTGATCACACATTATTTAATTTGTTTGAAACTTTGGCACTTTAAGTCAAATAATATTCATATGTACATCTCTAATATTTTAGAAATAACAACAGACTGCAGGAATCTTGTGGGTAAAGGATTTTTCCCATTGGGGCATTTTTGTTTAAGCATCCCTTTGATGTACAAGGGGAAATAGAACTCTGAATGAACAGTATAAATGTTTTAAGTGGGACACAGACAAGGCTGGCTAATCCCAAATAGTAAGCAGGATTGGATCTGGTTAATACTTACGTGGGAGACTAAAGGAAAAAGAACCTGGGGCTATAACCTAGATTGAGAAGTTAAAAACCAACCTGGAAAAAAGCAATGGAAAAATACTCTCACTGTTGCTAAGAAAACAGATCCAGATATTCTTTGGACATCACATTCAACACAAAGTTATTATTAAGCCCTTGAAGGTATGAGCTGAATATTTAATTTTTAGTCAAGGTTTGCTGGTGATACATTTTTCTTTAGCCTTCCCCAATTTAAACAATTGCACAAATTAGTTTTTCCTTGTTTATGATCTAAATCCTTGTCACATGGCTTAGCCTGGTTCACATGAATGAAAATGGTTCCTTCTGTCATTTCTGATACCTATTTAAATGTCTGGCAACTGTCAACACTTCCTTTATTCCATTCCCTCGAGCTAAAATAACCATTTCCTCTTTCTGTATGTGATTGATCCTCCATATCTTTTGTCATCTTGGAACTTGTTTCTAAACCCTTTACAATTTTTCAATATATTTTTTTTAATTGCAAGAAGTTGAAGCATTTAGGAGTTTGGAAATCTTTAGTACCAAACTAAGCATGTAGCAGTTCCTTGTTGACTGTACTTAAAGAACTATATCAAACATGATTTTAATTAATATGCAAAAGTCTGACTCCCACGCTTCCCCAACTTTATGACCTCTGGATGTGCTGTATTACAGTTGCCATAATTTCCTGGCAGCATCACTGACTAGGCTGATTAGAATTCATTCTGATATGGTTGCTTTAGGCGTTACCTTCTGTTCATCCACTACAGGCAGGCAAGAAGAGTCCACTGGCCTTCAATGATGTGAAAAGGGAGCCTCCTGCAAATAAAAGAGAGAGAGTAAAACACAGTTAAACACTCTTTAGAAGTTAAGCATTCTGGTTTTGCATACAATACACGGTTTGTGATAGAAGGTTACAGTATATTGTAATACTATTTTCTAAAACAGTAGAATAAACAGATGTCAAGTGATTTATCAGCAGCAAAATATTTAAGAAGTGGTTTTTCAAATAATTTTGCCACTTTGCTGTCTTCCAAAAGTGCTGCATTATAGTTTCCAACATTCCCAATACCAGTAGCAACTAATTACATGCAACAATTTTTAATTGTTCTGAGCCTACTAAAAATTGATTTCATAAAATGGAAATGATGGTAAAAAAGGGAGGAACAAAACCTCTTTAATTCTGTTTTTGTCTTGGCTTCATCACCTTCTTTTTGGAATGCAGTTCTATCCCTTACCGACTTGTCATTTGAAGGCATTATTAATTTTTGTGCCTCTGTGGTAAAATAATTTACAAAATGATTTGATGAAAACAATATTCCTGGTTCAAATCAGAGTTCCTTCTTTACTCATCAATATATGCTGAAAGCATGAGGAAAAGGCAGGTCTTTCACAGCTCTCTAAATTGCTTGATTGCAAGAATGAAAAGACACTGGAAGAATTTTAAATCAATTGGCATGAACTGGGACTGCGTTTGCATCCTGTGACATCATATTAATCTCTGCCTCATCTTAGAAAGCAGGCATGTGTCTCTCTCTTTTGCTTAAACCTGGAATCTGGGAAAGAAGCAAGGAAGCAAATCAGGCATGAAGACAGATTTTTTTTCTAGATGTAATAATTCGTGATGCTGGTGATTAACATTAAAGGCCCGCATGGCATAACATCAGGTTGGTTGAGTGAAAACCTTCTGCCTGCCCCACACATTCTCACAGGGAGAACATGCTCCAGGTTCCTTCTTTTAAATCTTGTCATCTTTTGGGACTTAGGATGCCTGCTTCTCTGTGGTTCTCCCTGCTCTCTGGAATTATCTTTCCCCACCCCCATATACAACAGGCCTGAATTCTTCTCACCTCTAGAAAAGCTCTGAAAACTTAGCTTTGTTTATAATGGATTGTGAAAATAATCTTGAGAAACAGAAGGAAGAGGGGAAGACAGGCTCCTCTTGTTCCTCAAGATTATTCTCACAGGCGCTGGGGTCAGTTACGATATGTGGGAGTGCCCCTATGGTTATTCTACTGTGTGCTTGGTCGCCATTTTACATTTTGTATATTATATATATACAATATAATTTCTTGTTAGATGACTTTGGGTTTTGTTTCTTTCTTTTGGATTTATTGCATGTTAACCATCCCAAGTCATACTCTCTGACTTGGAAAGCCTTATAAATGGTGAAATAAATAAAAATAAAATAAATACTGAGGAGGTTTAGCTTGATACCACAATGGTTGCAAGTGAATGCTGAAATGCATAGGCAGGCAAGGAAAGGATTCTGAGTTAATGAGGGATTCACGTTTGCTAGAGCTGCCTAAGTGGAGACTGAAAGTCATTGGAAGCTCAACAGCTCTTTGGGTTTTCAATGTTTCTCAGTCCCCTGGAGCTGTTGCCCATTATCTGTTCAAGAAAGATACAATGGTTTTATAAAATTTTTGTCAAAAAAAAAAAGAAAGAAAGATACAGATGGTTTTAAGACTGGCTCATAGAGAAGATAAGATAGGTCCACAGCTCAGCCTTTTGATGGATAATGGCTGTAATAAACTTGAAATCAAAACCTGTAGCTCCTTTAAGAAAGCAAACCTGCCCGCCCATCCTGCTTCAGACTTTGGCATTTAAATCGACTTTTGATGTTTGCTGTTTATAAATAAGCCCAGCCCTACAACCCCTTCTGTGTCTGGAGCAGCAATGTGATTGGCCCACCAGGGTGCCTGGAAATTCACTGAACAATCTTGCTCCATGATAGATATTTTTGGGGAGAGAGAAAGTGAGCGAGAAACAAGGGCGAGACCATTCTTGAAAAGCAGAAACACCCTTCAATGAATGTAAGTGGAATTCAAGAGGCAAGTGTCTCCAAATCTTAATATCTCACATACCTAGGAGGCAAAATGAATTGACAAGTTTCAGCCGGGTCAATTTCATAAGGCTGGTGAGAGCATCAAATAGAAAATACTTTATGCTCTAAAAAAAGTCATAGGAATTATGAAGACTCCTCAAACATTTTAGCACATCTTAATTCAGATTTTTCAATTCTACTAGGAAAAAATACCATTTCTTCCTATTCTTATTTCATTTCGATATGTACAATTTGGTTTACATTTTTTTTGTAGTAAACCATAGAATAATCTGAAGGGCTAAGGCTTGTCTTTTAGCTTATGTGGGTGTCTGTGTGTGATCTTTCTTAGCCTGAGGGCCAGTTTTATTTACACAACACACATTTTAGCCCTTAAAACAGGAGTTTCCAATTTGGCAACTTTTAAGACTTATGGACTTCAACTCCCAGAATTCCTCAGCCAACATAGTATAGCTGGCTGAGGAATTCTGAGAGTTGGAGTCCATAAGTCTTAAAAAGTCATAAAGTTGCCAAATTTGCAGATCCCTGCCTTAAAACATTCACACACATCTCAAAAAGCAAACGGATCTGAACATTTTGGCCCAGCCACTTTGGGGGCTCTGAGGGAAGCAAACAAGCCCAGGAGCTGCCTACCTGAGCATCTGTCTAACATCTACTCTACAAGCTATAGTATTTTAAAAGATTTTAAAGGAGCAAGTCAAAAACAAACCACTTTTGGACACATACCAAGCAGACAAACTTTTTATTAGCTTGCAGACCAGCGCAGCAAAGTGATCTAATACAGTTTTGGAGCATTTCGAGTTTTTGAAGTCACCTTTCTTAAATATTTAAAACACCACATTTATTGAAACTTGGGCATCATCTAATGCAGGTCTAGACTGATCTTAAATAAAAAATACTTTAGCTGACCACAAAAGAGTTCCTTATTATTTATAAATAGGCGATTCTGCTTTCAGACAGCCCAATCACATGCTCATGTAATCAAAAATTTCAAATTTCTACAGCCCCAAATTCATGACAGACTCCAAATAACTGCTTAGTTTGCCAAAATAGGAAATACTTCGAGCTGAAGTACTGCTGTCAGCTCATATGTGTTTCTGCCTATTTCTAACAAATGTTCAACCTCAAGTCCACTTTTGAAAGTCCGCCTTAGAAGAATTTCTCCCCCTCACATTTTAATTAAACTTAAAATGTGATTGCATGCTGTCCAACTTCCCTAACTCTTGCACCAACATACAAAATTTCATATTTGTAAATTCAGCCTTTCTCATCAGCCTACTGCTGATGGTGGAATACATTTTACAACATCTGAATTGTATTAATATTTTTATTGTTCCAGTTCTAATGAATTAATATATATTTCCACAATACTATTTTTCTCGTTAGCATCCCACAATAACCCTCCTTTTCGTCAAGATGGGGAAGACACAATGTCTGTAAAGTTGGTATGGTATCTATAACTGGAATTTTTGGTAACTTCCAAGTACAGGAGGCTCCAAATTTGCAAATTATTTCCTTGCATTTTCTGCGTTTATTTTCTTTCAATTTTTAATTAAATCAGACTGCCCCTCCCCAAAAAACTATAAAAGAAGACAGAAAATTCAAAGCTTCAATACCCTAAAAACTGACATAAAATAATATAACAGATATTTTTAAGACACGAGACAGCAGGCCAGTTAAGCACTAGTCCCCCAACCCTTCAGTCAGGAACCAACAAGATAATGTTGAGCTATATATCTACTCTCAAGTTGGCATGTAGATGAAATACAAAGTATTGATGGCATCTTATGTTTCTGAGAAGAAATATGATACAAATGCATCAATAACCATTAGAGAAATAACAGATAGTAAAATAATCCAAACATTTTAACTGAACAACTTTCCTGTGGACTTTGTTTCTGAGCAAACCTTAGAAAAGTGAGTTCCATAGAAAAGGTGTGACTTTGAACAGGTCACTCATGCACTGATTACTTTGTATTTTGGTTCCATGATGCATTCAATTACAGCTCTTCCTTGAAGGTTATATAAACCTAAAATAACTCAAAATGGGAGAGGTTAGCTAGTGCTTTCCCAGCCTCTCTTTCTAGCTAAATATTCCAAATAATTTCATACAGCTATTTATATATACTGTCTGGCCAATGGTCAAGGCAGTTTATAATAGATATAATGTACATGCATTAAGACCATCCTCAAATAGGCAGTCAAAACCAAATAAAGTGAGTCTTATCCGAAAACAAATCCTACCCACTATCCAGCCAATGCCTGACAGAACAGGATAGTCTTCACAGCCATCAAGAAGGTTGGGGGTTTTACAAGCCTTAGGCATGATGCTATTCACTCATTCACTTCATGTGGGGTATGCTTAAACATCCCTCTTGGGAAGATTGAAAAAGATCAAATCTAACCAGGAGAGATAGACTTGTAAGAACCTATGAGCTGAGCTAAGCAATGTGGTACTTTATAAGTCAACCACAGCACTTTTAATCATGCTTAGAAACTAACTGGCAATCAATGCAGCAAATGGAGCACTGATGCTACAAAGGTAGTCCCCACTGAACAACGACAATCAGGACCAGCAACTTCATTGCTAAGCTAAGGTGACCAGATTTTAACATTGGTAAAGAGGGACATTGTGGGCGTGGCTTATTTTGTGGGTGTGGATATCTGGTCATGTGACTGGGTGGGCGTGGCTAGCTGGTCATGTGACTGGGTGGGCGTGGCTAGCTGGTCATGTGACCGGGTGGCCATGGCTATGTGTATAGGGTAAGGTGAACAGATTTTAACATTGGTAAGAAGGACACCATTGTGGGCGTGACTTATTGTGTGGGCGTGGCTTGGAGGCCATGTGACTGGGTGGGCGTGGCTAGCTGGTCATGTGACCGGGTGGCCATGGCTATGTGTATAGGGACTACTCAGAGGGCTGAAAAGTCATTTCTGACAGGTCCTCACACTTTTGACTGGTCCTCACACTTAT